TTGCACGCATGAATTTTTCATTAGGGTCCATTTTATACTTCTATGGTCTTTTGCACGTTTTTTAGAGTTAACGCATCCTTTAAAAATAATCATTCTCTAATATCCAGGACTATTCAGTTATGTTAGAGTACAGCAAAGCCAGGTAAACCCTACCCGTCTTTCGTTCTTTTTTTCCAGTAGTGTTCTACTAAATAGGTGCCTCAGTTTTGTTTTGTCTAAGAAGAGCTCATTCTTTTCCTTCTTACATTCATTGCAAGAGTAATTCATGGGTTTTTATATTTTAAATATGCTTCAGTCAATTACATGTGTCCTTTTTCTTCTTCCTCTTCTTCTTTTCCTCTTCTCTTCCTCTTCTCCCTCTTTCTTTTCCCCTTCTTCCACCTCTTCTTTCTTCCCCCCAGGAGCCCCTCCTGTAGATGCCTCTATCTTTTGCCATGATCCCTTAGTTCAGCGATGGTGAACCTTTTAGAGTGTTCGGTGACAGCAAACAGTGGGCTGCGGGCTGCGGCAGGCGTGCCCAGTGCAGGACTGTAGGATCTCCACCACTGTTCTTGCGTTCGTTCTCCTGTCCATTCCCAAGAGAAAAGAAGCATCGAGAGGCCCTGGCAGCACGTATTTCCAAAGCTCATCTTCACTTTTCCAGGCCCGTTCCTAAGGGCAGCAGAGATGGAAGCTTCCTGTTCACTCTCCTCCTGCTTCTTCAGTCTTTCCTCTGGTGGAGAAAGGGGAAAAGGCCAGGGCAGAAAGGCACAATAGTATGGCGGTTTGTGTTTTTGTCCCATCTGTACTTTGAGCAATTAGTTTGTGGGGCAGAAAAAGCCCATTTAGGTTTTTTTTTTTTTTTTTTTTTTAGGAAATTATCAATGGTTATTGTTTTACATATTGTTATCTGCAAAATAGTTTCTCAGGAAAACAAATAGACAAATAATAGTGAGTTAGAGACAAAAGAGGTAGGAGATTATCAGTAGTTGTTGTGCTATACTTTGGTATCTTCAAAGTGGCTTCTAAAGAAAATAAATAGAGCTATACATGAGTGACCTATTGAAAAATCATTAACTATTCTCAATAGTTGTTGTAGGAAACACATAATAAACATACATCCATTTATGAAATAGGATAGGAACATTACAAACTTTACACAGTTATGGATAGATTAGTAGGAAAATATCAGTGGCTTCTGTAATACATGGTGGTATCTTCAAAGTGGTTTCTCAGGAAGACAGATATGCAAGAAGGCCCAGTTAGTTTTGTAAACCATCCTTTTGTAAACACTTCCTCAGTATCACAAGCGTGTCTTGTTCACGTCACAGAGGTCCCAAGTGCCATAACAAGGCATGCATTATATGCTGACCTTTTGTAATTTTACAGTAAATAAAGGAAATACGGAAAGCGGTGTATCTCAGTCTCATAAACGTGACGTCAGCCAGGTAATATGTCAGTGTGTAATGGACTCCCAAGTCCGCTTTCTTCTTGTGGTTGATGTAATGACTGATTCTCGGAAGAGTTCTTCTGTCTAAAGTCATTTGTTCACATTAACATTTAGTCAGGATTTACATCATCTCAGGCACTGGGGGTTTTTGAGATTCAAAGGAAAGAAAGGCTAGTAGTGTAGATGGCTAATGCCTACAATTTCAGTGACCCTAAATCTCATGGCATATGATACTTAGAATATATGCATTGAACTGAAAAGGCATGCTTTGCACTCCCTCCTCCTTTGGGTAGCTTGGGCTGTCGAGGGCAGAACACCACCGTCAGTACTAAGGAAGTCAGGTTACTCTATAATCTTTTTCATTACTGGTGTTTAAATCCCCCGATTTGTGTCATTTGGAGTAAAGACAGCTACCTCCTTTTACTCCACCTAACCCGAACAGGGAAAGGATACTTCCTTGTCTTCATCGGGGTAGCTCAGTGCCCTACAGGGGCATTAGTTCCTGGTAGCTTCCTCCTGGCAGCTAATCCTACAGATTACATGTATCGTCTATGATAGTGAAAATCCAGTGTCTATTTTTATGTTGATTCTATATTTTTACTCAGAGTGATAGTTATTTGTCCCGTGTGTGTATCTGTCACATTACCTCTACCCATAAGTCTAGGAATTGAGATTATGGGATTCTTCACGTAGAATTGGACATTCCTTTATTAAGCTGGAAAGATCTCTTGGAGAATGCAGATTTTCAAGTTTTAGGGTGATAAAAGGAAAATAACTTGTTAGGCTGATGATGAAGAGCAGGCAGGATTTCCAGGCACTTGGTTCTCTGGACAAGGGCTAAAGATACCTTTGAAGTTATTCCATTGTTCACAGATAAGAGACCCCTTGGTGGACCTGGCATTAGTTGCTAGCAGCTTCCTCCTCTTTAGCAAACAAGAAATGGTTGTTGGGTTTTGACTCGGAGCATAAACTAGCGGCTCAGCACATTTCTTTTCCAACACCTGCTCTGGTTGATTGTGTGTGGTGGTGTTGACAAATCAGTTGCCTTTGAACTTTAGAAAATTGCAATGTCTGTAGTTGGATTAGTGAACAGTCTTCAGTGTATAGTCAAAAACTTAGTTTTTCAGGAGGTTTTCATTTTTATGGACTATAGATTTTCTTCCATTCACCAATTTTAATTAGGTATCATGTACACATATATAAATAGACACACATAGGTACATATATATGCATATATATCCAACTTTTGATCAGATATTGTATATTTCACATATATACTCTTTATAAGAAGAGAAAGTAGTCACTTAAATCTATAGCATTTAGTGATTTATTACCTAGTTTGAGAAGGGTTGCCAAAATAAGATCCTGGCTTTTCCTCCAAATCATAGGACTCTCTCAGAAGGCTTTGACAAACCCAGCCTCTTTGATAGAAGTCACTGTAAAATACTCGTTGCTACCAGGAATCGTGTAAGAAGCCTTCTTCGCTATAGTAAGGCAACTCAGGGGCACCAGAATCCAGGTAGAGGTGCGGTAAGCCTGAGAGCAGGGCGAGGGACGTGCCACGCTGCACCCTTCCCTGCTCTGCAGCAGCTGATCGTGGGCCCCTTTCCTGATGAGCTCCCAGCCACCCTCAGGGTCCTTCTCAGCCAGCCCTGGGGGCCCCTCCCGGGAGCAGTCACTCTGAGTTGGCTCCAGATGAGATTTAATAGCCATGCCTGTACTTGATGGGAGAAGTGGAGCTCAGATTAGTAATATTACTAATTACTTGTATTAGGAATTACTTTTATAGGAATAAGATGTACCCAAAATTACTTCTATAGGAATACGATGTACCCACGTCCACCCTACACATTGAGAGTGCACGATCTGTCACCTCTTGGAGAGGTACTGAGTTCTTTGTACACTTAAAAATAATTGCAGACCACCTGGGCATGATGGTACACACCTGTAATCCCAGCACTCTTGGAAGCTAAGGCAGGAGGATCACAAATTTGAGCCCAGCCTGGTCAACTTAGCAACTTAGCAAGACCCTGTCTGAAAGAAAGACAGAGAGAGAGAGAGA